TGACTATTAACTGCTTCATACTTTATAAACTAGGTCCCAGATATCACATTCAATGCCACCATTTTTAACTGGATGCAAAGTGTTTTGTGGTGTAACTTTAAATGCCAACCTTGCCACTTACCTTACATGTGTACCTAAAATAATGTCCACATTTAATATTTCTACATGCCATTTCCCACTGACATATATTTACATTTTATTGTCTCCCCAGAAAACCTCTAAACATGGAGCCATGGAACACATCCTATTTTATGTCAGTGTGGGTTTTCAGAAAGGACTTCACGTGGTGTTGTGGAAGTTGAAAAGAATTATCCCTGTCTAGTTGATCTCTTTGTGTCCTCTAACCCCCCTCCCAACCCCCCCCCCAGATGGTGCTAAGTACAGAGTTGTTTTTATTCTCTCTGTGAACATCCTGTGACAAGGTGTTTTATGAGGTTGTCTGTGATGTTTTAGGGAACAGCTTTAGAAAGGGAAAGTTTAGAGAGACAGCTGAGGGCAAATATGGCCCAATTTTTCATGTCAGTTTGGCTTGGAAAGAGCAATGATTCCACCGTTTTGAGAATAGTGGTTTCTGAGTCTAAATCCACCAGGTACTCAGATGCCAGAGGTATATTCCACAGCACTGTGTGGTCTGGGTGATGAGCTGTTTCTCATACAGAAAGCTCTGCACAGTACAAAGACGAGAGGAAGTCTCAAACTGCATGTCTTTTGCTCTTTTTTTTTTTTTCTTTTTTTTTTTTTTTTTTTTTTTTTTTTCTTTTTTTCCCCCTATCTCTGTTTGATTCTCTGGAATCAAACAATGTTGTTCATCTTTGGCTTATAAAATTGTAGCATTCGCCTTGTTCTAAAGTATCTTTCATGTTAGTGTTTTCAATTATGTGAGCAGGGTATAATCCCCAGGAAGTTAGTTATTTGGGGGATTGCTGTGTTAAATTATTGCAAGATGTGGTTGGGTATAAATACAAAACCTTGCTTATGGTGCATAAATAACCCGGATCATTGCTGTCATAGGACAGTCTCCCAACAGAGTGTCTAAGCCATGCATTTGAACTGAGATCTCACTATCACATTCACACATTCAGTCTCCATAAGGGTTCCTCCTCCCACTCACCCGTGTCTGCATACAAAAATGCATGCAAGAAGGGGAGGGGCACATTCACACAGTTTCTTATCAAGCATGACAAGGAAATTCCCTAGAATGTGAGGCTTTTAAATTTGTGCAATTGCTGCTGTGTTCTTGGCTAGGTTCTACTTATGACTCAAAATGGCCTCTTACAAGTTAGCTTTGGCCAAGGTTTTATGAGTTCAGCTTTTTTACTCCTGAGTATCCTAATAAATTAGAATTGCCTAGCATCTGTGCTTTAAATGTATAGGACAATATTTTCAATGCTACTCTGTGTCCACTGAGCAAACTTTTTTTTTTTAAACCTACCAAACATCAACATTATAAAGACAAGTGAAAAATTTTTTAGCAACAAATCATGGATGGAGTTATCCACAAAACTAGGGCTACTTTTCAAAATTAGATCATCTTTCACTAACAATGTTGTGTACAGAGTGACTTCTATAAAGGATCCAGTTATATAAATCAGGTTTCACACATATATAATTTGAATTCCATTAGAAGATGGCAGGGTGACAATGTCTTTATAATATGCATAATTAAAGCATGCACAGTAAGGACAGACCACCCAAATTAAATGCTCCATTTTACAGTAGTAGGGAAGCAGAAGCCCCACACTGAGCCTGTCATCCAGAAAACTGTTGGAAAGCATTTCGCACCAATGTTGAGAGTGCGTGGAGATTAGAGAGTACACCATTTTTCACAAATGGATGGAAGTTCCTACCACTGTGGTTCACAAAGCTGAGATGACTCCCTTGGGAATAATAGTTGGGTTTGAAATCATGCAAATGGGGAGAAATGAAGCACTATTGTGTGCAAGAAAATTTCACATCTGTATTGTTCTTATAAACTTTTCTTTATGTGCTTAACAGTTAGATGCACAGATCCTTTTATTTCGATTTTCCATCCCTCCCCCCTTCAAAGCCTTGGTATGTCATTTGAGTGCCACTGTGAAGGACATTCCAGACTGTGTAATTATTCCTTATGGAATTATCAGTGTACTTAGTTTTTAATCTTGCCTTTCACGAGTCACTGGAATTATTTATTGCAATACATTTCGCTTTGGTTAGTATCCTTCGTGGAATGGATGAGGCAGCAAAGATGGTTTGGTCTGTAAACATTGGAGGGCAGAGACCCACCTGTCTGATTGCCATGAGTGGTATGGTGTCATGTGTGAGTCTCATTGGGATAAAGTCCAAAGAGGGAGGGAGGGAAACACGGCTGTTCTGACATTTGGGAGAAACTACATAAACAAGCCCAGAATTCAACTGGAAGGACCGATGGATCAAACGCTCCAGTTGGACTAGCAAAAGGAAATAGATAAGAAAAATACTCAGGGAAACAATATACTTACATTTATTGTTCTTAAAATTATTATTTAAAACATATGGAAAATAATTCAAGCATCACTTGTGATATTACTGACAAACAGTTAGGATGCAGCCTGACTACAGCTGGGTCAGGGACAGGCACCATGTAATGGTATAGCCCCAACCCATGAGGATGATTCAGGTCAGGCCTTTGCATTTTCTGTCTCCCCGTGGTCTCCATCCACACTTTTCTCCTCCTTTAGCCTCCAGTGGATACTTATCTTTGGCTTTCCTCGCCATTTTAGCCTCAATCTGTTGCTTCTGCCTTTCCTTTAGCTATAATTGTAGTCTTTCATCGCCCTTTAAATTTTCTCTGCAAGCCACTTTTTTATTTCCCCAAAGTTGCAGCGTATTACATTAGAAGTGGATAGGAAAGATCTCAGTGGCCATTTCTCAACCACACTGTATCATATTAATGAGAATCATATATGCCATTCCCTGAGAGCATATGGCTGGCCTCTTGGGACTTATAAACAGTCCTAGTTTCTGAGAATGTTAATTTATGGGATTAGAGACTGCATAGTTCAGATTCATGTGGGAACGTTTATGCCACATACATGAGTCCCTTCTTACAGTTTTCTGTTTCTTAAAATATGTTTCTTTTAGTGAAGCAATCTAATACGGCCTCAATTTGTAATAATGATGCTCTTGTTTGGTGTAATTTAACTGCACAAATCATTTGTAAATGAGTGGCAGTGGCAACAAGTTGTCTGGCTGGCAGTGGGGTAGTGGCTGTGTGGGCTGACATCCAGGCTGAGGGTTAGTGAACAAAGTAGTAATGTTTGCCTGAGACAGACGGTAGAGGAAGCTTTAGCAGTCTTTTCATTATTTGAATTGTGCCTCGGATTTGTGTGTAAGTTTATTCTGTTGTTTTGAGAGCCACCGGGTCCACCAAGTAGGACTTTTCAGAAATAGTTGTGTCCAGCCTTCAGAAATATTATCATCATCAGACCTGCCTGCAGTTGGGAGGAGAGGGCTGGAGAGTTTTCCAGTGTTGGAGACAAAGGTGAATCAATTCTACATGCCCCAGGTGGGTCATACAAGTCCTTTCCTTAGAAGGGTTTCTGAGGCCTCTTCCCCACCCCCACCCCCAACTCTGCCACTGTAATTTCAGAGACAGAATGGGTGCATGTACTTTAGTTTTGAAATTTGGTCTGAACACTGAGGAAGTATTTTAGTGAAATGAATTGGTACCCAGAATGCTAAGACAGAATATGTGTGTGTGATGCATTTTGCGTTGTATGCATGATGATTTCCTTGATGTAATTCTCTTTCCTGTCCACTTTTCTTTTGATTTGTTATCTACATTCTCCCATTCCTTGCTTTCTCCCAGTTCTCACCTTCGCTTTCCCATCTTACTCCATTCATTCTAGTCCTTCCTTCTTTTCTCTCACCTTCCCTTCTCTTTGTTTTTTTTTTTTAATTGAAAAGTCATGCAAATATATTCTGATCATTGTTTTCCCTGACCCCGCCCCCAAGCCTTCCCCTCCCCCCATCCATCCAACTCTGCTTCTCAGTGACCAGGGAAATGCAAAGCAAAACTACCTTGAGATTTTGTTCTTATACAGGCTAAGATCAGTAAAAACAAATGGCAGCTCGTGCTAGTGAGGATGTGGGGGAAAGGGAGCACTCACCCACTGCTGGAGGGAGTGCAAACTTGTCCTGCCACTAAAGTGCTCCTGCTGTGTCTCCTCCTCCAATTCTGTGTTATTCCTTTGTCAAGACTCAACAGCTTCAAGTGGACTTGATTGGAAAGTACTAGGTAACTGTACATGTTGTTTAATGACACTTCTGCCCCCAAAACATGGGCACCCATGTGGAGTTTCTGTGGTTACCACACTGTCAGAACCACACTATCAGTTTGGTTACCGTAACATCAGAACTTGTTTTCATTCCTATTACGAAGATGTGTTTAGGTTTGGATGCTTAAGTCTGTGTTTGAACTGTGATGTCACCATGTGGACATTTTCATTTCCTATGCAAAATTTAGAGATAATTACAAATAAAGCTATGCATTGTTATGAATCCTGGCCCATGAGTCTAATGGGGAAATTGGAAAAGTTTCTGGAGAAAAGGCGTCTCGACATTCTACACCACCTCATGTATATTGCCTGATAAGGAAGTGCATCTCACCTACTTGGGGTATGCTCAAAAATGGGTCATTGTTGAAGTCAGAGGATCCAAATAATTTCAAACTTTAGAATTCACTCCAGTGGCTGGAAGATATTGTACACTGAATTTCCAATTTCCCTAATGTTGCCATGACTATGATCAGACACTAATGAGTATTATTCATAAGTTTCAAAACTTCTGGGTTTTTATTGGTGATTTTAACTGTGTTGCTATTGTAAAAATGGATGACAGTTTTCAAATGATAGGAGTTATCTGGGATTTCCTACCTTTCTTTTTGTTTTGAAAGTAGAGGAGTTTATGTCACTCCTCTGTGTAAATAATTGTTCTAGAACACAGCACACCATGAACAATGCCTTTCTCTTTCCCATTTCCAGGTGAAGACCCTGAAACTAGAAGAATGCGCACAGTCAAGAACATAGCAGATCTGAGGCAGAACTTGGAAGAGACGATGTCCAGTCTTCGTGGGACCCAGATAAGCCACAGGTATTCGAAGTCCTACCAAATTTTGAATGGCCTGGTTCTGTCCCATGCAGGATCTCCAGCAGTCAATCGAGTCTGTAAGCTCCCACATGCTCAGGTCAGCTGTTGGGGGCTTAGGCAGTCTATGGAGCCACTGGCAGTGGAACCAATATCTTATCCCTAGTGCACTTTGGGAGTCCATTACCTATGAAAGGGATACTCTTCTCAGCCTAGATGCATGGGGGAGGGCCTAGGTCCTGCCCCAATGATGTGACAGACTTTGATGCTCCCCCATGAGAAGCCTCACCATCACTGAGGAGTGAATGATGGGTGGGATGGAGAGGTGGAGGGGTGGGAACTAGTATTAGTATGTAAAATAAGACTGGTTTTAATTTAAATAAAATTAATTAAAAAACATTTGACTCCTCTTATGATATCAGAGAGGAAATTTTATATTGTTTACTATTTTTTCCCTCAATTTGTATGTGCCAATCAGTTATTGATAAAAGTAAGAGCTGTCATGTACTCTATTCCCTCCATCTGGTCCCCTGTAGAACTTCCTTGTTAGACTGAGTTAGCTGACCAACTGAAACAGTTTATAGTGAGATGTTTCTGTGTCTTCTAGACCATTGGAAGAGGGCTAGCAGGGATCCAGACGAGGATGCCCACAGCTAACTTCTTGCACTGGTCTGAGAATCTTAAGATGGGTGAAAAAAAATCTTCATTCACTTTTCAAGAGTAAAACAATACTTGGCTAATCTAAAATATGCTGGTGGCCTTTCTTTTGAAGCAATCACTTCAGATAAATGTGACTTCCCACGTTTTGACATCTGCAGAGATGACTGGTACCCTAAAGTGAATCTGTGCACTATTCACATTCATAAAAAGTGATGAGCTTCTAGCCAGAGGACACTCAACTCTAGTCTTTTCTGTCATCTTGCGTCTTGGTCTGTGGCCTTAGTGAACCAGAGTCTAGTTATCTCTCCATCTTGTTTGACAGCACCCTGGAGACAACATTTGATACTACTGTGACAACTGAAGTAAATGGAAGAACCATCCCCAACCTGACAAGCCGACCAACGCCCATGACTTGGAGACTGGGGCAGGCGTGTCCTCGTCTTCAGGCTGGAGATGCTCCCTCCATGGGTGCCGGATACCCTCGAAGTGGTACCAGCCGATTCATCCACACAGACCCATCCAGGTTCATGTACACAACACCCCTCCGCAGAGCCGCTGTCTCTCGTCTGGGAAACATGTCACAGATAGATATGAGTGAGAAAGCAAGCAGTGACCTGGATGTGTCTTCTGAAGTGGATGTTGGTGGATACATGAGTGATGGTGATATCCTTGGGAAGAGTTTGAGAGCTGACGACATCAACAGTGGGTAAGTGGCCCTGAGCATGGCAACATTGATGGTCCAGGAGGGATGCATGAGGATGTGTCAGCTGTGAAGAGGACATAGATACTACCTACCTAGGTCATTAGAAAACATTGGAACTCTGATGTGATTTATGATTTCAGCACCTCTTCTGCTCCTTCATAGAAAGTAAAATACTAAAGTTTTCTAAGAATTCTTTTGTCAAGCCATTAAGTTTCTCTGCTGTTCATCTAGAGCAGTGGCTCTCAACCTGTAAATCATGACTCTGTTTCAAAGGGCTTGCCTGGGACCATGGGAAAACATAGTTGCACTATGATTCCTAGCTGTAGCCAAATTGGAGTAGCAATGAAAATAATTTTATGGTTGGGAGACACCACAGCATGAGAAACTGTAGTAATGGGTCATAGCATTAGGAAGATTGAGAACCCCTGGTCTAAAGAAATGCTGGAGGCCCGTATTTTTAGTAGTAGTCTTACATGTTCCTAAGTGACAGATTTCATAGTTATTTGGGATGTGGGAAGGGGGCAGGAGTTTTGCTGAACTGCTTGAGTTTCTAACTTTAGACTAGCTACCTCTCTCTCACTGCCTTGAGGGATAAATACTTCGTGGCATTGTTTGATCAAGAGCATCCGTTAAATTGCAGGGGAAATCACTTCAGAGTTGAGGGGTTTGTAAGGTTTTGATTACGCTTTGTTTATTTCTGTCTTGTGTGCATGTGTATGGGCTTATTTATAGGATGGTGAACATGTGGAGGTCAGAGGACAGCTTTTAGCAGTCGGTATCTCCTTCCAGAGATCTAACTCACATCATCAGATCCTTTCATCTATCTCTACAGGCCCAGAATTGAAAGTTTAGACTGATTGACTTACTCTTTGTTGATGTTTTCAGACTTGGAAATAGTGTGGTCTTTTCTTTCTTTTTTTCTATTATATTTCAAAAATAATAATTTGTGATTCTAAAATTCTTAATGTGTTTTGGCAACTTGAACAACTTGGTTTAGTCAGAGGATGATGAACTTTGGAGGTCACAGGACATTCTGTGTAAACTAATCCTGGACTGTGAGATGTCTCAGCAGGTAAAAAGCCCTTTCCACCCAGCTATGGTGGAGTTCAATGACTGGTGTCTCGGTGAAGGAGAGAATTGACTCCTACAGGTTGTCCTTTGATCTCTACATGTATGCTACTAAATGTACACACACAGAGGCAGAGAGAATTAACAAATACAATCAAAGTAACACTACTCTTATAATTGCTATTATAATTTTGAGCACCCCATTTTCAATGAGTTAATAGTACATATATTTATTTACACACAAATCTATTTGTCCATATATTCCCATTCACAACCAAGTTCTGCATATGATAGATAGTATAAGCAACCCAAACCACAGGATCATCCTATATTTTTCAGGCTTTTAATTATGATATTTAACATTTATTTGTATTTAGACAAGTCTCAAAATCTTAGCACTGTAACAAAGTTCATTTCTCCTTCATGTAAAATGGTTCTGGCTTTTACTTTCATTACATTTTACTCGCTTATTTGTGTGTGTGTGTGTGTGTGTGTGTGTGTGTGTGCGCGCACGCGCGCGCATGTGTACATGTCCGTGGGAAAACACATGCCATGGTGTACAAGTAGAGACCAGAGGACAACTTAATGGGAATCAGGTTCATTCCTCCCACCCAAGTGAGCCCTGGTAATCCAACACAGGTTCTCAGGCTTCAGCAGCAGATCCCTTCACTAGTCATCTTGCTGGCTTCTGTCCCTGGTGTTTTCTATCTTTCCATGATGAACATAAGCCATGATCACTTAGAGAATAAGAATTTTGATAGTTCTGCTCTTATCTAATCAGGTGTCCAGGATCTTCCTGACCATTGTCATTAAGCCAACAAATAGCAAAAAAGATGAAGAGGGTAGAGTTGGAGAGCATTTTGTCTTGGTCAGCTCTGAAAGTTCTGTGGTTTGCTTCTGCTTACACTCATGTCCAGGGTACCTTTAGGAACACAGCTACCTGCAAGAGGCAAGAAGACATGGGTTAGCTATGTGCCTCAGAGGAAAAGGGAACTAATTTGATAACAGCTGGCTGTCACCCGGGACTGAGGGTGCCCACTGAGGAAAAAGCAATGTTTTTAAATGCTTTGTCCTACTTGTTTCCTTTTTTTTTATTTGAAACCTCATTCACACCCCTGGTCCCTTTGCTTTGTCTATTTTATGTGTGTCAGTGATCTACATGTTTGTGAATGAAGAATGTATCAAAAGTTCACTGGGAGAAAGCATTTTTGCTCTTGCCTCTGTTGGAGGAGTTTGAGTTTGAAACCTCTCTCCTTTTGTGACTGAGACTGACTCTTAAAGCATGGCAGAGTTCTGTTCTCTAGGCGAAAGGTAACTGCTCATGTTCTACATGGAAGTTGGCTGGTCTCAGCTAGAGGCTGATGGGAGGACATTGTGTGGAGAAACCACTTCAGAGTGTGTGGTGAGACACTGCTAAAGACCCAGGGTAGAATTGAGATGTGGGGCAGATGAAGAGATCAGAGGTAGCCCAAGAAAGTTTTGATTTGAAGGCACTTCCTTTAAGTGATGTGAAAACTGTTGCTAGACCTCGTTTTAAAAAACTGAATCACAAACTTGCTTTTTCTTCACAATTTTCCAAGTGTATTTTGCTGACTAAAGGAATAAAAGGCTTAAGGGACAGTTAATGTTTACATGTCTAAAGAAATGCCTTATTTAGCCTTTGGGCAACACCATCAAAAATGTCAGGAGGTCATTGCAAATGAGAGTGAAGTTGGCCTTTTCCGTGTACTCTGGATAGGAATGATAAAATGACTTAATTGGTGTTCTCCGAAGTCAACATTTCTTCAAGCATGCAGAGGTTTCCTTATCTCAGACTCCCTTTAGAAATCACTTCACACGCTTGAGAATGTGAAACTGTCAGTAATTACAAATGACTCAGAGGAAGAACTCTTACTTATAATGAGTTGGGAAGGTACATTTGCAAAGCAACAAAAGAAAAATCAAGAGGAAAGTTACATGTTTTAATTGAGTGGAAATTGAAGTTATCTTTAGATATCACAGTGATCAGTAGTTACGTGCAGATGACCAAATGTTAAAATTCTGTTTAAGCCATTTGACCTAATCATGAAAATATGAAGAATTCTGAGGGACAAAATTGAAAATGTGAAGTGAAATATTCTTCAGTCTTGCTATGATTCTCTCTCAAGTCTCCTAACAGCTTGGGATGATTGACATGGGCATGGAAACTGCAAGGCTACAGAACCTGAGTGTATCTTTCATAGGAACTCATGAGTATCCAACAATGACTCTTCTCCAATTTCATATGCAAGTTACTAGTCATTCGTGTTAACATGGAAATTTTCACAGAACAAATAGCTGCCAACTACTCACTATTCACAGTCGCCGTTCCATGATAGGCAGTGCTCTTTCCCATATGCACACCACACACACAAATGTATATATACCTGCACACATATACAAATACATACATACACATTTATACACATACATATATGTATGCTTATACACATACACATGCATATATCCAACATGTTATTTTTGTCATTGCCATCTCAACATAGACAGAAGTGAGTTTATTACAGTAAGCTGCCATTTCCATTTTGCACTAGTCATAGCTAATTGGGATTTCCAGAGCCTACACACCTAGTATCTTGCAGAGCTATAGATAAGGAATCTAGCTCAACAGTGTGCCGATAAAGGTGAAAAATACTAGAAATGAACCCCAAGGTTTTAAAAGCAACTAAGAGCTAGGGGTAGTAGATCATGCCTGTAATCCTAGCACTCAGGAAGCTGAGGCAGGAGGATTGCCATGAGATAGAGGTTACTCTGGATAACAGAGTTCTAGGTCAGGTGGGGATGCAGAATGAGACCATGCCTAAAAACAAACAAACAAGCTAAACACAGTAATGCCACAAACATATTTTTTTAATAAAAATATGGAGTCGGTTATAGGGGTAAAAGCTGAAAGATCAGAGAAGTAAAGGAACCAGCCACTAAAGTTCGGTAACAAAATCCCCAAGCCAAAAAATGGCTGAGCTCCTGTCTCCTTCCACCTTATGTTCCCAGCCATATCCTTGCTGTCTCCACCTCCCTACTGCTGGGATTGAAGGTGTGAGCTCTGTTTGCCTTTTAGACTGGTTGAATCTCATGTAGCCCAGTGTGGCCTTGAACTCCTGATCTTCCTGACCACACCTGCCAAGTGCCGGGATTAAAGATGTGTGCCACCACTGCCTGGCCTCTGTAGTTAGCTAGCGGCTAGCTCCACCTTCTGATCTTCAGACAAGTTTCATTTGTTAAAGCACAAACAAAATGTCACTATGCTTGGTCAGAGTAGCTAGTTCCTTATGAAATTTTTGCACACGTTTAGCTCCGTTGATTTCCTTCCACCCCCAGCTTCCCGGCTTCTCTAACTCCCTGCGTAGCCCATTGCAGGTATGCAGCTTATTCTGTTTTCCTGGTATGCCATCCCTCTCCCCACATCCCTTTTTTATCATCAGTTCTTGTGGTTACGTCCTGTGCTGCTGGGGTCCTCTTCAGAAAATCCTTACCTATCCCTGTAGTTTGAAGGCTTTCTTGATTTTTCACTCTAGCAGTTTCAACATTTAAGGTTTCACATTTATTTATTTTACTTAGTGGATGTTTCTGGTGTGAAGTGTGTGTGTGTGTGTGTGTGTGTGTGTGTGTGTGTGTGTGTGTGAGGGCAGACAGCTTTCTCTCCTGTCACATTGGATGCCAACTTTTCAGGCTTGATAGCAAGCCCCTTTCCCAGGTGAGCCATTTTTCCAGCGCACATTTACATTTTAAATTAAGGTCTTTGATCAATTTTGAGTTGATTATTTTGCAGGATGAGTAGTATAAATGCAATTACATTCTTCTTCTAGTAGCTATCCACATTTGGAATTGTTTTGTATTTTTATTAGCTGTTTGAGAATTGCATGCAACATGCTTTGGTGGTATTCACCCTCCCCTCCCACTCTGCCTAATCCTTCCTTCTATACTACCCATCCAAATTGTATTCATTTTTTGGGAAACCTTCCAAGACCATTTATTTTTCATGTTCATTGCTGCCTTAATTTGCAATAGCTAGTAATGCTATCATTCTGTAATCTAACTATAATCATCTAAAAACTGAGTGGGCAATGAGAAGTGTTACATATACATTATGGGACATTAGATATTAAAAATTATGAAATGTATAGGTAAATGGATGGAGTTGGGGAAATGTGTGTGTATGGGTGTATGTGTATGTATTGAGGTGACCTGGCTCATATGTATATACCTGCTTCAAGTCTTTAGATTGTGTATTTACAGGGTCCAGGAAACTAGAAAAGGGGACAAAGTGGGAGAGGATGCCTGTAGGGATGGACACTATTAAATGTTGGAACATCTGTGCTCTTCCTTTAAAATAGTGATAGCTTTGTTGATACTTGTATTACCCTAACATAGGTCCTGAGGTGGGGCAGTGGTGGTGCATGCCTTTAATCCTAGCACTCAGCAATCAGACACAGGTGCATCTTTGAGTTTGAGGCCAGCCTGGTCCACAGAGTTCTAGGACAGTCGGGGCTACACGGGGAAACCCTATCTCAAAACAATAAATAAATAAAAATAAAAAAAATATAGGTCCTAGCAATATATGGGACCTTCCATACATTTTGGTTACAATTTTATAGAAGTTATCACTTATGGCATAACTTACTTATGTAACAAATTAAATTTAATTTTAGTAAAGTTTTATTAATTCTGTGACCTTCAAGTGGTAAAAATGTCATTTAACCAATAAAATTACCTCTCTCTTGTTTGGTACAAGATATATGACTCTCAACCTTGTTAAAAATATACATAATAAAAGAAAATAATAGGTAAAGGTTTACTGACTTGTTAGAGAAGGAATATCATTTTAAAGTAAATTTTATTTCTTCCTGATGAGAGTATTTATTAATTTATTTTTATTTTACATATTGATCCCAGTTCCCTCCCACTTCACATGTAGGGAGGGGTCATCTAAATCTGTCCAGTTGTTTGGAGTAGGAACTAGGACTTCTGATGAGAGTATTTTTATATGAAGGGGTTTAATATAGTTTGTTTTGAGTAGTTGTTGAAAATGCACAATACAGTGGGTTTATTAAGTCATGTAGATAAGGTCATTTAATTTTCTGTTCATAGTGTCATGCTGGCAATTCTTTTCAGGTACATGACAGATGGTGGGCTCAACCTGTACACTAGAAGTCTGAACCGGGTACCAGACACAGCAACTTCCAGGGATGTCATACAGAGAGGAGTTCATGATGTGACAGTGGATGCAGACAGGTAAGTCCGTCACCACGGAAGATGCTGATGTGTAAAGCCATTTCATGAATAAGGTCACACATGCTGTGTATAAACTGTAACTTCTATTTTGCAATATTTTGAAAACAAATACAGTATTATATGGGAGAATGTAGTTGGTAGGTAATATTGAGGAAATAAATTGTTGATAGAAAACACTTAAAATTCCAGTTTCTATAAGAGAAAACTTAAAGGCATATACTTTCTTCCCTCATTTTGAGAAAAAAAGAAAAACCAACGTTGTTAATGTTTTTCTAGCTGTTCAGAAGCACTTGGATTTACCTGGAGGCTAATTACAGGAGTACAAAAATGTATTGCGAACCATCAATTACAATAAGTACAATGAGCTCAGTACTTGTCTTGAGAGTACTTTGAAGATATGCCACTCTCGCTTTAGGCTAACATCTTGTTCTCCATTATCTCCAACTCCTTAAGGAGGGAGTGTGCGTGCATGTGTGTGTGTTTCAGACATAGTCATTTCTTACTGGAACTGTTCTGTTGACTTTTATCAGAATCATCATGATTTGACATCAGCATCTTTGACAACTAATGTAAAATGATGTACTTCTGATCTTGATTACCTTAGCATTTCACTCCAGATTATTATTTTATTGAGCAAGAAGGCATTGCACATTTCTATAAGTAATGTCAGTATATAGAAGAGTTCTTTAATTGGTCATTTATGATAAAGGCAATTTCTTACAACTTAAGCTAGCCACATTATGAGATAAGATTGTGTGTTTTTACGGCCATACCCAGAAGTGAGGTAGCAAATTCTGACAGTAGTTTTTGGGTTCTTCTGACTCATTCCCCATCAATGTATTAAATCCTGTTAAAGACAAGAACAACCTCAGGTCTTGCCTCTCTCCTTTCAATAGCCCAGTCTGTGGAGTCTCTCTGTGTTTGCACACACCTTTGTGTGTGCATGTGGAGTATGTAGCTTTATGTGAAAACATTTCTCCCCTCTCCATTCTGAATTTTTTTTTCAGACGTATCTGGTCACTGAATATTACTCTAACTTCATCTGTAACCCTGGACTTCGTTGCATGCTTTGAACAATCTAAACAATTGGCTTGCATGTTTGCCTATGCACCACAAGGCACACAGAGGTCATAAAAGTACATCAGATCCACCAGTGCTGGAGCTACAGATGATTATGATCCCCACATGGGGAATTGAACTCATGTCCTCAGTGCCCTTAACCATTAAGCCTTCTCTCCAGCCCCAAATTATTTATGGTTAGTTCTGCAGATCCATTTTTGAAGAACTTATGCTTAAAATAAGGGTAGACAAGGCCAGAGAAATCCACAAAATCAGCTGACCTGAACAAGGGGAGCTCATGGACCCCAGTCTGGGAAATCAGCGTAGGACGGACGCAGACTCCCTGCACATGGGTGTTAGTTGGGAGGATAGGACAGTCTATGGGGCCTCTGGTAGTGCATCAGTATTTATCTCTAGTGTACGAATGGACTTTGGGAGTCCATTCCTCAGAGAGGGATACTCTCTCAGTCTAGACACACAGGGGAGGGCCTAGGCCTGCTCCAAATGATAAGACAGACTTTGAAGACTCTCCATGGAAAGCCTCACCCTCCCTGGGGAGCAGAAAGGGGATGGGATGGGGTTAGGAGGAGATGGGGAAGAGGGAACTGGGACTGACATGTAAAACAAGCTTGTTGCAAATTTCAATAAAGAAATATTATCGAAAAAAAAACCAATTAGGGTAGACAGTGAAGAATAGTTAAATTCTCGTTGCTCTAGAAAAACTGGGCTTTCAGTATCTGGCAATGGCGTGTTTAAAGTATAGTATTGCTTCAAGCTATGCCAGTTCCTTTATTCTCTGTCTGAACCCATCCCAACTCCGTGTCCTTTGTCGCCTGTGACTAGAGAACATGAGTAATCATTGAAGCAGGTTGTGGGTATTCAAGAACTCTGCTAATAAATTGAATAGGTAGTGTATGAAGACCTGAAAACACAGTATAACTTGAACAGGTTCTTTTAAGAAGCCTGAGATGTTCTGGCACGCAGCTTGGGGTGGGAGAGGGAGGGGGGTCAGAAGGGATTGTGAGAACAAAGAAGCATAGGAAAGTTTGGCCGGTAGAAATGGAGAACACCCAGAGAACAGTGTCCTCTGAATCAACTGAGCAAGGCGCATGTCAGCTTCACAGAGACTGAAGCAGCAAGCATAGGGCTTGCAGGGGTCTTCACCAGGCTTTCTGTATACACATTATAGCAGCAATTCTCAGCCTGTGTGGTCAAGACCACTTTGAGGGTTGAAGGTCCCTTTCATGGGGGCTACAGAAGGCCATCAGGAAACACCGATATTACAGTTGTGAAGTAGGTAAAGATAACAAGAAATAAAGGAGGGAGGGTGTTAGGCCTAGTCATTTGAATAGTAAATCCTACTGTGATTTTTCTCACTTCAGTTCACTTTTAAATGTCAAAAGAAAAGCATATACCATCATTGTATTTTTAAAATGAATTCTCTTGAACCAATGTAAGAGCTCCAGCTGGTGATGATTTTACTGTACAGAATGTGATGTCATCAGTCCGGAGAAGCTACTCACTAGGAAGAACTGTGAAAAACTGTTACCTCAGTCTCAAAGTTAATATGAATGCAAACAGCACAAATCCAAGGTCAGTGTCCCAACCTGAGCATGTCTCAGAAGAGCTGCCCTCAAGCTGGCCTAAGGCTTGTTTTGGTAGTGATTAAAATGTGTTAAATTAATATGTGCACCAACTCTATACACTGTAAAATCACATTGAAATTTCTATGTAGAAAGAGAAACCAAGCCAAGCCCTCAATATGTGTCTCTGAGATCTCAAGAATAAAGAAAGAAAAGAAAACCATCGTGGAGGTAAATTCAGCTCTAATGTAAAGAATGAGGGACAATCAACCATCGGATGTGGAGATAAGAGGGGATGGACAGCAATGCCAGATATATGGAGAGATGACTTAAGCATTTGTTTCTTACCTATCCTAGGTTTCATGAAGTGGTAAAGGGCAATGCTAGGTTATGGAAACAGGAGAGCTAAGTGCTAGGCTAAGGAAGGTAGACAAAGTGAAGGGAAGGTTGAAGCTCATGCAGACCGTAGTGAGGGCAAGGACAGAAGTCAGATCAAAGTGAAGATGATGCTGAGTTGTTCTGCTCTATCTGAGACCTTAATGTTGCTGCCTTTTCCTCACTGGCAAACATCTTAAAAACAGAAAGATTTATTTTGGTTTATGATTTCCGAGTGTGCCTTCTGTCTTGGCAGAAAAAGGCATACCAGAGCAGTTTATTAGGGCCAGAAATAAATAGTAGTGACAGAGGAAGAGAGCAGGCAAAGGACCAACACTGAAAGGCATGGCTCCCATCCCCCAGTTGTATTCTATGAGAGAGCCCCATATTTTCCTTTTCACAACTGCCTGGTGATGGCACCGTATAAGCCCACAAAGGGATTAATTCATGCATGAGGTCAGAGTTCTGAGGATCTGAGTTCCCATGGAAAAGTCCTGAAGGGCATATCCACAAGGGTGCTTCATAATGCTTTGCTTCTTAATCCAGGTTGGCAGGTTAATTATCACAATTAACCATCATAGATATGTGAGAATCTGACCATGCATAATTAATTCCTGGATAAACTAGGGCAACGTTTCTCACCCTATGGGTCATGACCCCTTTGGGGGTTGCACATCAAATATCCTTCATATCGGATATTTACAGTACAGTTTATAATAGTAGCAAAATTATAATTATAAAGAAACAAGGTAATAATTTCATGGCTAGGGATCACTAAAACATAAAGAACTATACTAAAGGGCCACAGCATTGTAAGTTTGAGATTGACTAAACTGGGGGGGAGATTTCATATGTAGGATACTAAAAGAATTTAGAAAGAGATTCTAGATATTCTATAGATTTGATGCCTATACTCCCTCTCTTGATATTTGGATATGGGATCTTAGAAATATATTAGATCAAAAGAGTAGAATCTTTATGAAAGTATTTGTTTCCCTAGAAAAGCAGATCTCCAGAGAGCTAACTATCCCTTTCAATGTGAAGTTATGAATAAATAAATAAATCTCTGTCTGTGACAAAAAGCAAGACCTCAGCAGACACCGGAAGTGCTGGCAAGACCTCAGTAGACACCATAATTGCTGGCTCCGAGTTCTGCTCTTCCAGCCTCTACAACTGAGAAACAAATTAATACTGTTTCAAAGCCACTAAGTTTGCTGTAGAAGTCTGAACAGACAAACAGGATGTAGCCATCTGAAAGGAGAGGTAGTTCATTTGAATAGAAAAGGTGCTATTAAAATAGTATATAAGGGTGGAAAAATACCAGAAGTTTCTAATTCTGTTCCTCAGCAGAAACTCAACCACACCTGAGATTGAGGTCAGAGAGCTGAGAAACCAGTCCAAATTTACAATTATGGCTGAGAGAGATAGTGACAGCTTAGTTAAAAGGATATCAACTTCATTGAGATTAAAATGAGACCAGATTTACTTAATATCAATGTACACTTGAACGACTTTTAATAAATATACACAAATACTGACCATTACCAGTTATAGAATATTCCCTTCCCAAAAAGGTCCCTAATGTCTTTTGCCAAGCTCTAAGATACTCAATCATTATCAACTACACTTGTGCTGTAGGCTACACAATTCCCTTTGCTGTACATTTTACATATACGGATTCTTACTGTTGATAGTCTTAGACCTGTTGTTTCTGAAACTAAGTATCCACTGAGATTCAAGCATGTAGTATATCTCGCTGGTTTATTCTTTATTGCCGAGTGATATACCATTGAAAGGATTTCAATGGTGTAGTATGTTATTTATTCACCAGCTGGGAGATAATTTAATTATTCCCATACTCAAACCATTTAGAATAATATTGTATACAGATTCATGGGTAAATCTGGGTTGTCATTGTCTAGGTCTTATGACAAATTTGTTTCAGTTTTTAAATAATTTCCTATCTTCCAACTTGCCAAATTA